AAATAATGCCCACAGTTGTAGGAACTCAAATGATCATTCCAGTATTTATATCCCAATTTGGCTCACAGCTGCCAGTCTGAAGAAAAGTAGAGTATCTTTGACTGTAATGCTACCAAAACGCCAACACTTTCAACTGGCTTTTGACTATTTTGAATACTGGAATTATCTAAGAACATTTGCAACTTTAATGTAGCTTCTATATCCTATTTGGTCCAAGTTTCTATTTCCAAAGCAGATTAACATAGAATAAAAAGTTCAACAAAACATTCAAATAGAATATTGCAATAATTTAAAATTGAAACAATAAAAATAAATCAATGTCAATTTTCTTTTTACATTTCTAAATTCTTTAACATACTTTCTTGAAGATTGTCACATTGAAACCAGAACTTCATTTTAAGTAAAAACTGTGGATCCCAAAATTAAAATGGATTTTATTACTACATAAGCAAGATGACACTGCAGAACTTGGAAATCCATTCATCTTTTTAATTTCTCAGTTCTGTGTACAGTGAAAGATCATCGCCAGATTCTACTTCCAATGCACAGTTCACTCTCTCCCTTTGAAATTTTTGCACCCAAGCTCAAAGATGTCTGGAAATACATTTTTTTATGAATTTCTGTGCTCACAACTAGGAGATCATAATGTTGCTAGCTTTTGGATTAGCTTGTATTATGAACTCAATCATCATAGTTAATAAACTTATTTTTGTGTTATATAAGCCTATTTGGGCTTATTCAATAAGCCATGATTAAAACATACTATGCTTAGTGCTGGATATGACTTCTGTTTGGAGGTCAACACAAGGGAGGAGGGTTAAAAATGGCAATAGGACCTACTTAGGTAGGGAATGCCTAAGTATATTTTCCCATATATATCCATAAGATTTTAAATAAAACAGTAGAGTAAACCTATCAATAGTATATCACTGAACCTCTATCTTGCCTGCACTTGATCTAGGAAAGAAATGCCCTAGAAATTATCAGTATGACTTTGCAAAAACCTCCTAAATGCATAATGGCATTACAAAATCAGTGTACTACATAAGGGGCCTATAATGCAGTAATTATATCTGAAAGACATATTTCAGAAACAAAAAGAATTCTAGCACAGATTTGTGTTTGTATTATTTATCTAAGCAAGTCCGCTAAAATTGGTTAAATGCAAATAAAGTGATTAAAAATTGTAACTGTATGGTCCTTAAAAAATCAATTTCAAGCAAAGGGCAGCTTACTTTATTTAAAATACTTCTATACTGCCTTGTAAAAGTTTTCTAGGCAAATTCTCTATAACAGTGTGTGTATGTAGACACACACAAAACCCATATATATGAAAGAGCAGAAATAATTATTGCAGAAATTACATAAAGAGATTGCAAAAACATAAACCTATATACTAATTGGGAAAGGATTATGTACTATTCAAAAGTAAAATGATGTACTTTGCAAAATACACTTATAGAAAATCAACAAATATTCACTTAAAGAAAATCTTTACATTTATTAGCCAATTTCTCACCAATACAAAACAACAAAGTAATAGTCTAAGGTTATCAGTTCTTCGGAATCTGTGGCTTCCCCTGTATTGCCCAATTAAAAGTTGTGATAAACAAAACTGAATCAACATGCCTATAGTTGCTGGAAGCTTTATTATCACAAAATGACTCAAAATGCTTCTATTTTTTTAAACATCAGCAGAAAGACTAAGATTATAAAATATGTTACTGCCACATTACTCTCATCCTTTACTCATAATCATTGCATAGTAAGTAATTGCACAATTAATTCATCCAGTTTCCCCACAAAAATTATTGATCAAATAAAGATCATAAACTTTCAAAAATGTTTGTTCAAGACAGTTTTCCTTACTGCAGTCCCAAAAGACAGTGGGAGCTGGATCCAATCTTTGGAGATGTACTGAAATTAATGAAATTGCTTAAGAGATGTCCAAGCGTGCTTTGTGTTAACCAGATTACTTAATGAGAATGTAAGTAGCATCATCTCAACCTATCCATACAGCTCTTCAATTTGTAGCTTATCTAAAGATGAGAATAGTATCTGAAACATTTTTAATAAGGGTGAAACTGAACTTAAATTTAGTCCCTTGTTCATTCTAAAACTGAAACCAGTTCAGTTAAGAGGTTTATACATCTTATTAACTACTGCAGTGATTTATTTAGTATAATATGTATTCTGTCAACCAAAGTATTCTGATTTATAAACCATGGTATACAGCTTAAGGAAATATGCCATAGTTTTAACACATGAACCATTATTATTCCCTTGTAGCTGCTGTTAAATGGCCTACTGCCTTTGAAGTTGATGGCTATATGATTTAATTATTAAATAGTTAATGACTAACAAATTCATGTTATCAGATTCACAAAAAACTTTAAATGTTCTCATTAAGTCTATGCATATGTAAAGTATATTAAACTTTTAGCTTTTGATTAAGCATAATCAACTCAATGCATAGTTGAAACTGAGAACAAACCATAACATTACATATAACATCATGAATCTAAATATATTTGCTATGTCATTAAGTTTTGCATGTACTGCAAATAGTTTGACACAACTTGGCAAAAATTAGTACAGTATGTATGGATTGATAATTTATTCACAATTATATGAAATATCACTGATTTTTTTGCATGAATTTTAGCAAAATATGTAGAAGTCAAATTTTAGTTTGATCCAATGTTAATTGATCTGAGTACTTAATTCAAAACATAGTACAAGTATACAGCGTATGAAAACTATATATTTATAAACAGAAAGTTATGATAAAACTCTCTATTGCAATTCCAACACGATTTCAAACGTGTCTAACATTGGATAATAAAGATAAATCTTATTTTTTACTTTGTGTTAATTTAATGTTAGAATTACAGAAGTTTTCTGTTGTTCAGAAAACCTTATGAGCAAAAAAAGTCATTATAAACTTCAATTAAAACCTAACATTAAAATAAATAAAATAATCACAGGTTTAAGAAAAGAAGCTTATGATCAAGTAAGTAAACATACATATTGATTTCACAGAGTACACACTGCTCACTCAAGTTATGCCTGGGATGCTAATATGATACATCTTTCTTTTACTTTGGTACACTAGCAAGTTATTTCTTTGGTGGTGCTTGCACCAGATGCTTTCCAGGGATTGCTAAATTGTTCCAACTGCTTATGCTCAAGCAATACAACCATTAACTAACCCTCACTTAGTTCACACAATACATTCAATTAAAACACGGTCGGCTGGTTGGTGGTCAACTATGGTTCTTATAACCTCAGCTCGTCTATTAAGTCATTCAAGAACTCGCCGTCCTTTAATTTTACCCCGCCACCCTAAATATGTTAACTTTGTAGCAATGACCTCCATTTATTGCAGCGTTATTTTCTTTCAACTAGGTAGCATCTGAGGGCTCTTCCCATTGTTAGAATGGTGCATGTATAGTTATTTTGCTCTCCTTCCCTACTCCCCACCCCCCCAAACCTCGCAGCCCTTACTGCCCTGTTGCATCAACTTCCTGTACAAGCTCCTCGGCTTTGGGATGATGGTGAGAATTCTTGGGTCTCTCACACCCCTCCGGTATGTCAGCTTCCTGTGCAAAATCCCGTACGCCAGGCTAAAGATGCCTGTGTGTTGCCGCTGCCCTTGGTGTATCAACTTCCTGTGCAAAGCCCCTTGCATTGGGGCGATTCTTTTTTTTATTATTATTATTATTCCTGTCTTTGGTGCATCAACTTCCTGTACCGATTCTTTTGCAAATGGGTGAAGAGCACGTTTGCGAGGGCACTACCAGCATGTTGGCTGCTGCTGCTGTTGTTGTTCTTTTCCCTATTGCCCTGGTGCATTCGCTTCCTGTGCAGAATCCTTTACATTGGGGCGGGGTGGGGGGGCGAGCGAGTGAATGAGGATGCTCGGCTGCATTTCTCCACATTCCTTAGTGTATCCGCTTCCTGCGCAGAGCCACTTGCAATAGGGGGAAAAAAAAAGATGCTCGCACTTCTGGCTTCCTCTCGCTGCCGCGGCTCCCGCCGCCTGCCCCAGTGCATGAGCCCTTCTTCGTTTCCTCCCTCCCTCCCTCCCTCCTCTGCCTGCCCCGGTGCGTGATCTTTTCCTGCCACCGCTGCTCCTGCTGCTCTGCGAGAGTTTGCTGCCCTACTTCACTCTACTTTAGTTTCACTCACTTTACATCCGGGTTTTTTCCCTAGGCAATGGGTGCCGCACCACAGCCCGTTCCTTAGGCAAAGGGAAATAAATTCGCTGCACCGACACGTCAAGTAGTCCCTCTGGAGAAGCCTTGAGGCGCCCCCTCCTCTCCCCGAGCAGGCCGGCCACCCCTCCTCCTTCCTTCATTCATAGGGAGATAAGGCGGGGAGGCCGGTTGAGGGGGGGGAGGCCTCCTCCTCCTCCGCTTTGGTCCCCGACCTCGGCGCCTTCTTCGCTTCGGAGAGCGGCCGAAGTCGCCGCGTTTGTGTGCGAGAGAGTTGTGTCGGGGGCGCGCGGGCAGCGAGGGAGTCAGGGAGCGCGCGCCGCTGGCAGGCCAGGCAAAAGCAAAGCAAAGCAAAACGGAGGCCGGTGGCGGAGGGATCCAGGCGTGCGGGTGCTGCGGCCGGGCCGGGTGAATGGGATTGAAGAAGAGTTCAGCTTCTCGGCTTGTTTTTGTGTCACAGTTTCTCTTCTTCTGCGCCTCTTCTGCTTCGTTCCTTTCTTCCTGCCTGTCCCCTCCTCCCCTCTGCAGGAGGAGCCCCCCTGGGAAAGGGGAAGGAAAAGGACCCCTCAGAGGAGAGGGAGAGAAGAGAAAAGCAGGAGGAGGAGGAGGAGGAGGAGGAGGGAGCAACCAACCAACCATCTTCCACTCCCAGCTTAGATTAAAGAAAGTGAGAGGAGGAGGAGAGAGAAGAGCCAAGAAGAGGGGGACAGGGAGGCCCAGAGGAGCAGCTGCACCGCCTTCTCCCTATGAAGAGGACTCCTTTCCCCTCAAAGAGAGGTCCTGCCAGGGGGACCCCAGCCAGACCACCTCGGCGGCAACATCACCACCACCAGCAGGGTGTAGTATCCCACCTTTTGGATATTCCCTCTCCGCCTCCCCTCTTTTCCCTTTCTTTCTCTCCCCCTCTCGGCCCCCCCCCCGGTCCTCTGTTGCCTGCCTCGGGAGTTTCGGGGGGGAACAGAGAAAAGGGTGGATGGGGTGGGTGCGCGCTGGGAGGAGGGAGTCCACCATGGAAGACTCCGGAGCCAACTTGGAGATGAGGAACCACAACTTCAGGGTAATCCCTCCTCTCCTCCCCCCCCCCTACCCGGAGGTATAACGCCTAGGGATGCGGGAAAGGGGGCATGTCCTTTCTCTGTCACCTGTGAGGATTGAAGTAAGTTTCTGTGAGAGGAGGAGGAGGTAGTGGTGGTGGTGGTGGAGCGGGAGGGGTTAGGTGACACATTGGAGTGTGTGTGTGTCTATGTGTGTGTGGGGGGGGGAGAGAAATGACACATTTGCAAAGAGAGGAAGGGAGAGGACGATTTCCCCCACTCCTCCCCAGGATGATCTTTTCTAGGCCGTTTTCTGGGGGGGGGGGTTCATTTTTCTTCCCTGATGCCGCCGCCGCCGCCGAGGAAGTTTTATTACCTTGAAGATGCTCTTGCTTTGATGATCCAGGCTTCGTAGTAAAGCTGCTGCGGCGGCGGTTTTTCCTCTCCTCCCTTCTTCTTCTTCTTTTTTTTTTTTTCTCCCCCCTTTGCCTTTAATTTGTCTTGGTAGCCCGAGTAGTGCTGGGAAAATTCCGTTTCTTCAGCAACTTGTTATTCTGAAGTCTCTCTCTTTGCCCCCCTCACCCTGGGGCAGCCCATTTTGCATGGATACAAAGCTCAGTGCAAGGACACCTTTGGGATTTCACACTCCTGCTCTGGCACGTTTGCAGTGACTAGAGATGTGTCCCTTCTCCCTTCTCCCTTTCTTTTTCCTGCCATTTCTCTGTATTGGGTACAAAGAGTAAGGGGGTGTATGTGGGACTGCCATTTGGTCTGGTGGTTTTGTTGCCTGTGTATCTTGTTACTTTTCTGTGTTTTTCTTTCTTTGTTATTCCGAGCTTACTACAGATGGGATTCTGTCCCTCCCCCACTTTACATGTCTGCAGTTCAGTTGTTAGTTTCCAGGATTAAACAAGTAATACTTTTTTTTGTTGTGAATAAAAATGAATTAGATCAACACAATTAAGCCAAGTGGCAAATGAGGTTTTTAGGACCAGTATGCATTTTATTTGTGATGCTTTTGGGATACTGTAATGAAGAGGTTTGCTGGTGACAAAGATGTTCTGAAAGGTGTGAGGATGTCATTCCATTTAAATTGCAGATTATAAGTCACATTTATGTAGAGAATAAATTGTTAGTAAAATTAGTGAAAACAACTCCCAGATAAATGTGTTGTTGCCATTTACTGTGTGATGTTTGTAATAAACTTCTCTAATCGTTTGTACACTTTGATGAATTAATAAGTTAGTGAAATCTATGTTCTTGATTATGGTTTAGAGATCTTTGCTGTCAAGATTGGGTTTTACAGATGTATTTTCAGTAAGGATGTCTTAAAAAGTTAAGACTTTGTCATACAAAACAGTATAAATATGAGGTAGGATATTCTAAACATAATGATAAAGCTATGTGCTTTTCTACTGAATAACATAAATTACAAAACTTAGGCATGCAAATCAGAGTAAATTATTATTATAGTACAGTATTCAGTAAAAGTGTAGTTCCAGCTCATTATTGTTGAAATACTATTATTCTGTAAAACTAAAGGGTAGCAGCAGCTTTAGGACAAGCGTTATTAAAATTTTCAAACTACATATATGATCCTGTAATATCATAGGCCAGTATTTTGCCATACATACAAATTTCTATTGTATTTTTGGAATTTCATCCTTTTTTGAAATAAAAAGTTTGACACCAGAAGGTTTTATAGAAAGAGAATAAAAGTTTTAGGAACTCTTTTTCATAGAACTGCTTACATTTTATTTATCATTTCCTTTGGCAGAACTTGTCTGGTTTCACTTTCTAACTATTTCTTTCTTTTTTCTTTTTTGCTTTCTAATGGCCTAAGTATAGTGACCACTACAATCTATGTATATTAATGAATATTGAATGTTCTTTTCTTATGGAAAGTAAGGTGAAATGGGATTGAAAGTTTCATTTACCATGCTGGTATTTAAAGAGAAACTGAAGTTAGCTGTCATAAACAGTGATCTTGCTAAACATGTGAGGAACTTTGCAAATCTCTAACTATGAATATATTTTAAACTATAGTTTTTAAAAATACTTTTCACAAAATATTGTCTTACTACATAAATGGATACTAAGAATTTTAAATAAAAGCACCTTTTATTTTTACACATTCTAAGAATTTCCTCACAATTTTGAATTCTTACTTTGGATTTGAGTAATGTAAGTTGGTCAGAAACTTTGGAAAGTATCTCTAAAATAATAATAAAAATACATTGTAGAAGCATAATTTTTCTTAAACGATAAATTCAGGTTTAACTTAAGATCTCTTCTACAATAGTGGCTATAGTAGTCTAGAGTAATGAAAATAGTACATTGTTATGCTTCTTTTAAAAATGGACCATTTGCAGAAGGGGTTTGCAAGTTTTGTTCTTTTGATTTGTATAACAACTGCCAAGAATTTAGGCTACTGGTCTAAGATTGGGTATTTATGGGAAAATAAGGGGCAAAAGCTATCTTGACATTTCTTTGATATGCAGCATTGAAGATTTACTTTTTAAGCAGAAGTGCATCTTGAATTGGAGTATGTTCTGTTTGACTACTTACATTTGATGGTCTTCAAAACTGATAAAATTGTTTACTTCCTTAAGGTTGTACTTCTATATAAACCTTGGTTGGTCTTTTGAATATACATGTTTTAAATGCAGGAAAACTGAGGCAGACTTTCTTCTGCTTTTTTTGTTTATATTCTTTCAAATTAAATATAATGAATTATTACATTTTATTACAGGGTGCAGAACACAATGCCTTTTGCACTGCAAACACAAATGTATGTGATACTTGGTATCAATATTGGGGCATGTTTTCAAGATCAGCTTCCTCTAGACTGGTTAGACCTAACTCCCACTGGCCATGCCCCCTGGGGTATTAAGGCTGTTGAACTCCAACAAATTTGGAGCATCAGTTAAGTGAGGCAGATCTAGACTATATTTGAAACAATAACTAAGCATGGAATCAGCTTTATTTTCTCTTTCAGTGTGTTATTAAAACAAGTTATTTTGATATTGAAACACTTAACATTTTTGGTACTTCATAAGTGTTCACTAGTGGGCTTCAATATTTCTTGCAAAAACAAAAGTTCTTAAATTTCAGTCATTTTAATGTAGGCCACCTCTTAAACTTATTTTAATTTTAGTGGGATCAGATCTAATTGCATGCTTAAAAATTAATTGAAATAATGCAACTTGAATATAAGTTTGGGTGGAGTTCTTTCTTTTTTAAACTTAATTCTATATGGAAAAGTTTTATTGCATTTTTGGATCATATATTTCTTATACTGTAGTATTAATAACATAATACTACTACTGTAGTATTAATAACATAATAGTAAAAGTTTTACTATTTCATTTCACATTTATATGGAGGAAACAATTTCCTAAGAACTAGCACCCTAATTGTAAAGCACCTATAGAGAATTTAAATTGGGGTGAATTTGTTCAGTATTTTTGGAATAGATTCAGCACTAAAATTTATTGTGAACTTAATTATTCAGGGTATTAATTTGCACAGTTTATTCCATTCCATATTAGTCCTAATTAAAAATTATTAAACTTTGTACTTAACTAGAAGTCTGCTGAAATCAGTGGGAATAATTTCTGAGTAAACATGTATAGAATTGCAATATTGAAGTTGAAACTCATATAGTTAAAGACACATGTTTTCATTCTTTTCGCTTTTAATGAATAATACAAGTGGGCAAACTTCCATGATAAATCAACAATATGATTTATAATCTTTGTGATATCTGAGATAATCTGAGATATTAATAATAATAATAATAATAAGGCAGGTTGTTCCACTGGTTAATAGAGAAGCAGTAGTAGTTAAGTCTTGGTTTCATCAGAATATTTTAACATTTGGACATTTAAATTCATGGTGCTGTTATAAAAATACAGCTGACTGTAATGTTATAATGGCCCTACATTGCTGTTTTACATGGTTCCTTGTAAATTTTGGATATGAATCAATTCTTTCTTACCTTGTAGAAGCCTTTTGAATAGTGCAAAGAGAGATCACTGTTTCTTCAGTAGTTCAAGTTTCACATTTTACATACAGTTGTTGAAGTTCAGAACTTGGACTTATATGATCTGACATAAATTGATAATTTAAAGGATTAAGGTATTTTGGAGTAAAGATTTTTATTTATTTACATAATGCTGTTTATGTTCCCTACTTTTGTAGACTGTAGGTGGTAGCCATCATAGCATTAGTTCTACGGAAAAGCCATGTTTTGAGAGAAGGGGTGTTTTTTTTTGAAGGCCAGAAAGTTAGGTTCATTCCATAACACAGGAGACAATCACAGTATAGGGAACTTTGGAGGTCCTTTTTGTGAGAATCTATGGGATAGGTTGAGAGAGGTGGTCCTGAAAGTGCATTAATTGCAAGGAGAAATAATTGATTAATTTGTCTCTAGCTGAAAGTATTTTGCGAATGATATATTTTAAGTTGTGTAGATATATAGAGAGTGATATGTTTGCAGATAATTGGGTACTTAGAAGGAACATGTTGACCACAAATATGTCAGAGAATGAAGAAATTCCCAAGTGATTTTCTTATTGCTTTGGATGTTAGACTGGGCAGCATAACTGGCTTCTTTACTATTAAACTTATAAGTATTGTAGATTTTATTTATCTTTGTTATTTTATTTATGTTTGTTATTGCTCACAAACATTTTAGTAAAGTATTTCAAGAATTAAACTTACCTTAATTTTTTTATAGATCCATGGATGTTTGAAAAGATGATCACAAACAATTCCTACAGTAGCTATGGTATTTAAACA